ATTTCTTTAAAGTGAATTACATGTTTTCTTGTGTAGGTTACGAGATACCGTTGTGTTATAGATGTAAATATCTAGATTAAGGTGTTAGATGTATAAATACATCAGAATTGTGAGGCATATATGCAAATTCCCAATACATAGAGATAGATAGATGATAGATTTTAAGAATTTACATTTCCTTTTTTGTTGTTAGGATATGCATCATATATACTACTTAAAAAATAAGATTTGAGGGCCGTAGTGATCTTTCTACTATTGGTGAGGATTTCGTGCCGAGAATTTCTTCTTCTTCTTTTTTTTTTTTTGATAGGAAAAAAAAATTAGTAAAAATAGATTTGTAAGGTTCATATATGCAAGATATCTTCTTTAAAGAAGGATTATTCCAAATTTCCAATTGTAAGGGTCATATATGCAAGAAGATTTATGTTGAAATTCACGCATGCAACTATTAATAATTCGGGATGGGTGTTTTGGAAAAATTTGCGTACGTAAGACGTACGCAGCGCTGCATGCGTCTGTAGGTTACAGGAGGGATATTTGAGGGTTATATCCGCGTTATATTTCTTGTAACCTCTCTGTAACTTACATGTAACCTACAGAAGCGCGAAACTTACTGGAAGGTACAGGTAGGTTATAGGTAGGTTACAAAGATGTTAAATGGGGTATAAAGCGAATATAACCCCCCAATATCCTACTTGTAACATTTTTACGTACGCAGCGCTGCTCACGTTATACATACCCAAAATTTTCTCATTTTTGATTGATCGTTTTTGCTGTTTTGTAAAGTTACACGTATGCATTCTCTTCGGATAGATATGCAAATTTCTTAAATTAAATATGATTCAGACTAATAGTCAAAAAGTTTAGCTAGCTAGCACAATCAATTGCAACTTTCCCACATTTTTCTTAAGAAAATGTGACTGAAATTTTATCTTTAATTTTCTTATTACAAATTTACCACCATTGTTTATTTGCTTAAAATGAATTGTAATTAGGTATAACAATTTAGTCACACTTCCACAATTTTATTTCTACAAATATATAGCTTTTAGCTATAATTATTAAAAAATATGAAATTAATTAAAATCATGACACATTATTAAAACATTCTACAATCAAAGCCTTATACTTTTGTCAAATTGCAAATAAATACACAAACTCCTCTCTTATTATCAAGAAAAAAAAAAATTACAAACAAATGAATGTCAGTATATTCAATCACCTAGTTAACTCTTTAACTCAACCAGGGTTTGTATAATTTGCTTCCCTTTCCTATTATACTCATGATAACACTAGCAATGACTACAGAGGCTCGCTGCACGTCGAAACTAACGGTGATGCCCGACGCCGGGGCTAGATCCCGACGGCAGCCTCGCCAACCACATCACCACCGCCGGGCCTTGATCCCGCTTGCCGCCGTTAACTTCTTCCGGCATCACTCGCAGAGCAGCGGCGCTCTGCATGCAAGCTGCTGTCATGACGACGATGATGAAGACGATGAATAAGAGAATTGAAGAGTATCGATAACTCATGATTGATTCCTTCTTTATAGAATTTTATGAGAAGGAGAGGTGCTTAATTGCTTGTCTTGGGAGAGTATTTATTGTAGAAGAGTTAAGGGCGATCAGAGAGAGTTCGAGGAAATTGAGAATAGGAGTTAATTAAGCTTGTTGACCACGGTTCTTAAAAGATCGCGTGCGTTGAAATTCGTGAAAAAGGCAAATCGTATAAGTTATTATAAAATGATGTCAGCACAGCATGAAAATGTTACTTCCTTAATCTGACTTGGGGACCATGGATCTCACGAGCAGAGTTTATCAGATCACGTGCCAGAGTTTGTCTCTGCTCGGCTTGCTGCCACTAGTCATTAGCTGCATATTATCATTCTTATCGAGCCACCAGTATCATCTCGTTCACAAGTTTCCATAAAAATATAATTCTTTGTTCGAGGTCGCGAGCTGGTTCCGACCGCTATGATCAGTCGAGCTTGAACTTGTCATTTAACCTCGAGCTCACAATTTGACAAGCAAGCTGGACTCGAGTTTGGCGTGGCTCGAGATCGGCTTGACTCGTTTACACCTCTAATAGCATCAAACTATACGTGTGGTAGCATGGTGTGATCCACATCATGAATCATACGTCTAATTTACCATATGTAATGTTTTCTCTCGGCGCCCTCATTAAAGCCTCTGAGCTTCAAAAAATGTTACAAGATGTATGTAAATATTGAATGGTGTGAATCTGCATGGTCTTATTATAATATTGCATGGTTGAATATTCATGATATTTTCTTTCAAAATCCTCAAATTGGCAGCTAAAATAATATAGTAACCAGGAAAAATGCACAGTCAATATTAAATTAAAATATTTTTATGGTTAAAATATTGCTCTATATATCAAGGCGAAAATGACGGTTAAGAATGGAGACCCCTGAATTTATTTTTCAAAGTCAATTAATCCAAATTTCAGTTCTGAAAATAAAGATGAATGAATTTAGCTGCATATGTTTAAACATTCCAGTCAATGTAATTAATTGTGTGATGGCCAAAGCAAAATCAAACTAATTTTCTATGTCAGTATTAGACTTAATTTCAAACAGATGACTTCACGCCTTGAATCAAACAGATGACTTCATGAGAAATTTTGTGCAGTGGATGAGGGTCTGAAGATGATGAACTGAATCGATATAAGTGCTCGTGCATAAATATGACCTTTTAGTGACTGTTCATAAAAAAATAAAAAAAATTTCTGGTTATTTTTAAATTATTTTTATTTCATTATTCAAATGCATTGATGTTTTTCATGGTGTGAATTTAATGAGTTTTTTTTATTTTGTTATAGTTGAATAAATGTTAACAAATAGTGATATAATTGAGACATAAATGATGAATAAAAAAATAAAAAATAAATTGAGTTATGCGGGGCAAAGAAAAAATTAAAAAATATTTTAAATCAAAAAATAAATTATTATATTATATTATGTTATTTTTACATTTTGATGTCATGTGTGTGAAATGCTCACATTATTGCTTCTAGCATATGCATATTGTTTAGATATATATGTGTGTGTGTGTGTGTGTGTGTGTGTGTGTGTCTATATATATGATTTTAAGTAGTCAGTTTGTTTAGGGACGAATTCACGTAGGGTCTATGGCGGCACTTGCCTCTTTTCATCAAATTTAAATTTTTTACCTATATGAGAGAGCAATTTGATTTTTTTGCCCCTCATTAAATATCATTTTGTTTTTATCGTCTTAGCCCCTTCCATATTGGGTATAGAAGGACAATTTGCCCTTCCTAAAAGAGAAGTTGGTTCTGCCCCTGAGTCTGATATATTATATATGAGATAACTTTCTTAAAAATAATGATATTTATTTTTAGTTTCAATTTCACATCATTTCACACTTTAAAGCGTCCCACACACCTGATAATTGTGGTGGAACCAACATCACTTTTTAGGGTGAAGAAAATATCAAATGTCTATTTATTTTTTAAGTAATCTACAAAACATATATAAAAGGAGAAGAGACAAAAATACTAAATTACTTAAATCACATAAAAAAAAAATTGATGTGTGCTAGAAAATTCGCGGCGGTAGAGTAACGGACTATTGTCTTAGCGTTGTACGCAAGTTCAGCACACACACAGATGAAAGAGAAAAAAACGGTGATGACTCCATAAGTTTTTTACGTGGAAAACCCGTAAGAGAAAAACCACAGGGCCTGACCCAGTTAGGGAAATCCACTATTAATTGATGATTACAGAAATCCCTTGTCCCACTGACGAGAAATGATAACTATATTTTTCATATTACAAACTTGACTGACGACGTCTAGTTGGTGGTGATCGATGATGGTTAGTGCTGGTGGATGACAGTTGAAGGAGGTCGACGACGGTCGGAGGAGGACGACGGTAGGCGGCGGTCGGCGGTGGTCGGTGGCTGTCGGCGGCGGTCGTCGGCGGGCAACGACGATCGAAGCTGGGCCCCGACGTTTGTCGGCGGTGATGTTAAGCTGTAGCTTCTCCTCAATGCCTCAGACTCTCTATCTAAATTTTAGCTTCCCCTCAGGTGAGGAGTTGGGGTCTATTTATAGTGTAATAGGTGCAATTAATGCAGGAATATCAACCATTTTGATTGGACGGTCAAGAGAGTTTCCTCCAATCATGCCACGTTTAATGAACATTTGAGTGCCTTAACGATGTCAGAATTGAGTGATCTTGGTCTCGTTGGATTCGTCTTGTCGAGACAATCAATTTGAGTGTAAACTTGTCAATGTCGACATCTGTTTGACATTCTAAATGTGTCCATAAATCTTTCAAAGGTGGTTTAATGACTTGATGTGAGCTTGTTTTGACTCGGATTAGACTAGTTTTCGTATCATTATGTCCGTCTCATCGAACCAATCAGTTTGACTATGAGTTTGTCGAAATCGGAGTTCTAAATCATTTTTCATCAAGATTTAAATGTTTATTGCTTAAAATATCATATTGAGAATCGTGTCATGATTCGAGATTCGATAAAAATTTGTTAGTAGAGTATCAAAATATTAAATTTTACTATTTATATAAATAAATCTCAAATTTTAAGAGGTAGTTACCCACCCCCGTCATAACCTAAACCTGCCTATACCAATGTGATACCTTTTTATTTAGAATTACGTAGACTCGACTCAAATATGTCATGAAAAAATCGAGTTCAGTTTGTCCTGATATATATATATATATATATATAGGTTGACAAACACTCAAAATCGACCTATCAGCTCAAAATTGACTCTTACTTGGAGCCGGATTTAACTTAAAATTAGATGGAATACCGTTAACTTACACCTGTCAGGTTCAGTCATTTGGTTTGAAAACATGTGAGATCCGGTTTAGATATTTCTAACCGGTTTACTATTCAATTCGCATCGGTTCAGTTTTTAACCCGACCCGAATGCTACCCGTTAACACCTGACAGCCCCTAAAAAGAGGTCGGGAGAATAATTATAAAGAAAAAAAATTTTCGAGGAGCCTTCGGTTCCCTGGATGTCCGACCTTCCGACATCTGATAAGTTGAAACCCTAACCGGTTAGCTGATCGCCGGATCTCAAAATTTTAGCCATGGATGCCATCAGGAAGCAGCTGGACGTCCTCATGGGAGCCAATAGAAACGGGGACGTGACAGAAGTCGATCGCAAGTACTCTGATCGCGATGTCTGCCGGCTCTTCCTCGCCGGCCTTTGCCCACACGACCTCTTTCAACTAACGGTAATCACACCATCAGAAGTTACGATCTCTATATGTTCCGCAATCTTTTTAATTCTTATTATTTGACTGGTTTATCTGGTTGCCTAGGGCTCTTGGTTTCTGCAATGGGAACCGCACTTATTCGTTGTGCTACTTTTGTTTGTTTATGTAATGTAGTTGTGTAAAACTGTGAATTAATTTATTTTCTTGTAGATTTTTTAGTCCTCTTCTGCAATTATGTCTGTTTTGTATTAATGAAGCGGCGGCTGAAAATGTTTTGTATGTTTGCTCATGTTTTAATTAAACTGGTATGCTGATATATGCACATCATTTGATTTGCTTATCAGAAAATGGACCTGGGTCCCTGTCCAAAGGTGCATTCCTTGCAGCTAAGAAAAGAGTATCCTTATATGCTGGTCCATTTCTAGTGTATTTACATACATAGCACACCATTCTTATGTATTTACATGTCCCACGCCTATACTTTCATATTGACACACATAGCACTCAAATCCTTAATATCATATCAAAAATAGCAATATTACCACTTTTTAGAAGTGAAATATATATTTTCATGCACAAGTTTAAAGCACCGCAGTGCTATGTATGTAAATGTAGGAGTTGAGGCGTGAGACATGTAAATACATATGAATTGTGTGTTCTACATATGTAAAATTTATTCTTTTGTTTTATTTAAAATTATTTTTTTTACAAGTTGATTATACATTTCTCTCCGGAAATTGGCCTATGCTTCAAAGGTTTGTCAATTGTGGCTATTGTTCTTCCTGAATTACATACAGTTACGAAGAAGCGAAAGCGAAAGGTATGCACAACTTTGATAGAGAACTTGAAGATTTAATTGAAAGACTTATTGTAGAGTGCGAGAGAAAAATTCAAAGAGCTCTAAAGCGTTTAGAGAGTGAGGATGCTAAGGCTGCCATAGCAATATCTGTTTCTGAAGTGACACAGGTTTTTAATCAGCTTGTTTTGATGTGAATACATTGTCTCTTAGAAATATAACTTTATAACATAGTCTTTTTAATGTTCCAGACACCAGAAGTGCTGGAGTTGTCCAAACAAATCAAGGAGAAGTTGAAGGAAGTTGATGCTTTTGGTGATTCCTCATAACATTTAAGCATTTTCTATCCCAATTGATTGATAGTTATGATATAAATGTCATTCAAGTTGGCTGAACTAAATATAGTTTTTTTATTTTTCGATTGCAGAGTTGTGGACAACTCATTTATTTGTCGATCCAATGCCATGAAAACATGAACGCGCGATTAATTGTATATTTTTATCATGTTGTCGCTTTGAGTTCATCATTCTATATTTGCTTTTTTAAGTTGTTTTTTGTTTTATATTTTCACATAATTCTATGTCCATTTAGCATGTATTTTCAATGAATTTTGTGTTTTTTTAGTGACACTGAATGACACATTTATCGAGTGTAAAGAAAGTGTTGGAGCATTCTTCTACGTCAATTAATTTTTTTTTCAATAATGAACGTGCTTTCTCTGTTTATCGTTAAATGATTGATTGGGGCATTTGAGGTTTTTTGTACTGATATGGGTAGCTAACATTTTATCTAGGATTAACTGACCTGATATTTGAGATATCATAAGTTCATTCTCCTCGCCTGATTATAATTTAAGAAAAAATTCAGAGAAAGCTATTATACATTTTTCATTACTTGATGAATCAGTCTGTGTTTCTTTTTGTAACTTTTCAAAAGTTATCGTGGTTGCAATTTGGTGCTTAATGTTACACTGAAAATTCAAAGCATTTCTATCATTTTTTTTTAACTCATATGATACATTTTACTTATATAAAGATTCATAGAACAACCTTTAGGATTATAATTTTAATGGTATGCTATACTGCTTGAATTCACAGATTTAGAAGGAAAAACTGACAGTAAAATCCGGGCTCAAGAAGCGGTAGAAGAGCTCAGAGCAAAAAGAGCTGACAAACAGGTAGTGGTTTTAAACTAGCACAGATATTTATTATTCATTTTGTTCTTGTTAATTAATTAGCAGCCATCATGTTTTATGTTAGTTTTAAAAATTCATGTTCAAATTCGAGATCATGCACTTAGGATTTTTTTTTTCTTGCAGGCAATGCTTCTCCTTGATGCTTTTAACATAGATAGAGCGTCTTTACCACAACCACATCAGGGACATCCACCGTTGGCTCCTGTCCCTGCTTCCCATCCTCCAGATCCTCGCACCCAGGAGATGATTAACGAAAAACTGAAGAAGGCAGAACATCTTGGTTTGTCTTGCTATGCTTCTTGGAGAGAATAACTGACATTATTGTGCTTCCTGTAGTAATTGCTCTTAAATCTTTTCTATGCTGCATTTGTTTTTTGTAACTTATCTAGAATTCAAAAAAGGATGAATTGTGGTTATATACATGACGATTGACATTTCGTGGACATGAATCACATGAATCTTTGAAACTAGGGCATGATGTGCTGTGTGCATGGGATTGTTTTGCATGACTATGGAACCTGAGATATTATGGCCATAAACGTCTTAAGAAATTGAAAATGATATTATCACTGACAAAAGTGAATCTCTTCCTCTAGCTTCCTTGATGTGTGCTACAAGAATGTGGGAGTAGTTTCCTGTTCCATAATAATATAACATCTTAAGTGAATATGTTCCCCTAGCTTCCATGCTGCGTGCACGGGATTATTTTGCATGGACTGTGGAACATGAGATGTCATGTCCATAATAATATAACATCTTAAGAAATTGGAAATGATATTATCACTGAAAAAAGTGAATCTATTCCTCTAGTTTCCTTGAGGTAAATTATGTTTGTTTTGACCAAATTTTTCTTAGATTTTGAGTCAAGGCTTTCTTTAGATGCAAGCCCCCATAAATTTTGACTTCTTTACTTATTTGGGAGTAAGCCCCCATAAATTTTTACCTCTTTACTTATTTAGGAGTAAGGAGTTTGCTTAAGCTCAATTTTAGAATTAAATTTTATTAAAATTTTGAACTTAATGGGAAAAAGTTGGTGATGAGAATAAAGCATACCAGGTTCACATAGTCCCATCATATATGGCTTATCGGTGGACCCATTTTACCAATTTTAGAGGGTTTTGAGTTATATTTCTTGACTATTTCTTGCCTCCTCTTAGAGGTATCCTTAGTATATCAATGTGGAAACACACGTCAAAGACGTGTTTTTGAGACTGACGTTAACTTATTTATTGACCGAGGTTTTTATTATGCTAGCTCACTAAATAATTTAGAGGTGCAAAGCATGGCTTTTTGCGGTTCAGAGGCTTTAAATATGACGAACAAAAGCTTTGAAGCATGGCATGATCATCTGTTATGTCAAAGACGTGAAGATGATTTTGGTTAGTGGACTTAATTAGCATGAGGGATAGCTCTTGTTTAATTTAGGTTGTTGTTTTCATCCATTGAAAGGCTCAATGTTTGATTTAATAACTTTGTCAGTTTATTGCCCACCCAAATTTATTGGGACATAGCTTTTATCTTTTGAAGGCCCTCTTGAATTATTTAATTTTGATGGGATTGCATGCTATTTGAGATTTAAAGAATAGATTTATATTTTATTTTCATTTGAAGGACTATAATGAGACTTTTACGCTTGAGGATGAGAAAAGCCTTATAATGGGTTTTAAGAGCCTCACCATAAGGGGGATAATACTTTAAGGATAAGGACAGTTTAGTAATGGTCTTATGGCCTTGCCCATTTAGTCATATGTCCCAATTAATTAAGTTTAGTTTGACAACTAGTGGATTTGCACTGACTTAATTAATTGGATTGAGAATTAACTTTCTTGAAATAGTTGTTTTGAACTTTCATAGGAGTATTAGGACTGATAAGTTTGCTTGTTAGAGAGGTTCAATGATCCGTGACCACAAACCCCAAGTTTAGGGGCAATCCAATGCAGTTTTTATTGCTATAAATTTAGATTGACATGCAAGCATGAGTCTTGCTATCCCATGTTTTAAACTGGATGAACTGAAGGTGGTCATTTGATAGGGCTCTTGGATAACTAGAGATCAATAAAATTAGATTTGAGTCATTGGCTTATATGCCTAGTCAACTGAGTAGATGTAATGATTTTAAAAGGGTTTTGATGACTATTTCGGTTAACCATCTGTTTATATAAGTGGGTACTTGATATATATATATTTTTTCATTTGAACGTATCCTTCTTGAATTTTTTCCAGTCACCCCTTTCAATGCGCTAGCACACAACATATCAGCATAATTTTTCTATTGCAATACGATTTGTGATTTGTCATACATCATCCTGCTTTTAAGAATTATTTGCTCCAAAAGCATTTTATGGCATGTATTCTTAATATATTAGCACAATTATCAATGCGGTAACACAGTTTATCTTTATTTATTGTTCCCATATATTTTGTATGTTTGTTCATTTTATATGGAACTTTAAATGAGTTGACTCAAGGTTAACATATCTCACTCCACAATCTCAACTCCTCGAGGTCATCTTTATGCCCTAGTGAAGCTTTTGGCGGATGCAAGGATGTTTGTTGGTTTTATGGATTCCAATCTCAACTTTATGAGTTTTTGCCTTGTTGAAGCTTTGGTTATGGCAAGAAAGTCTTTTGTTTTTATTTTTGGGTCCAACCTTAACTTTATTAGTTTCTGAGGTGTTTGGACTTCACTTTAGTTTTTACATATTTTGTGATCCTTTTTTATTCTTAAATATCATCATTCCAGACAGTTATTTTATTTCACGAGGGAGAATGCAAATTTTTTGTGGAGCGAAATTCATTATTTTAATGTTTTGCAGGTGAGCAAGGATTAATAGATGAGGCACAAAAAGCCTTGGAAGAGGCGGAAGCTCTAAAAAAGGTTCGCTGTTTTTGTCCTTTTTCTTTTTGGATTCTACTTGCATATTCCAAATTGTTGGGCTACGGCTTAACATGATAATGTTGATGTGTTGGTTTTTGCTAGTTATACATCAATTCAAATCAATAAAGTGATAACCAGTTCAATATTCTTTCTTTTTATTGCCCTACACACCTAAATTGAAAGTTTGGTTTAACCATTTTTCTCTTCAGTTAAGTGCTAGGCAAGAGCCATCGTCAGTGGACTCTTCAAAGTACACTGCTGCTGATGTTCGAATTGTGAGTTCCTTCATTCAATGTTTCTTGCGTTCTTATGATTTTTTTTAAGCTGAGTTTAGCAGTGCTTCTTAAGCTGATTAACTTTCTTGTGTTAATTTTGGGGTGATATAGCTGGACGTAAAATGAATTTACTGTTTTTTGTGAACAAGAAACAGGATATTGTTTTTTAAATGGGGGAAAAGATTTATTGCTGTTTGAATACTGGTATTTCTGGGAATCATTCAGATCATAGAATGAATGTTAAGTGATTAAACATTGCGCTTACCCAATTTACTGGACAACTTACATTTTCACAGAACCAAATGGATTTTATTATTGAAGCTATTTTGAGCATTTTAGGTAACCAACCCCCAAAAAAGAGTAGGGGTGGGGTTTAGGAACACACCACCTAAAGCTAATATGTTTTCAAAATTAACACCCACATCATTGTGTTCTTAACTATCAAACCATAGGTAATTTGACTGCTAAGGTTTTGTTGTCTATTTTAATATTTGAGTGGTTTCAACAGAAAAGCTTGATTTAAACTTCTTATCTTTTTTGCAGACTGACCAAAAGTTGCGTGTCTGCGACATATGTGGAGCTTTCTTGAGTGTTTATGACAGGTATAACTCAATTGTTCTGTAACATTTTTGAGTGTATTGTCACTGGATATAAAATCCAGTTTCAGACCATCAGCTTTTGACTTTAAAAATTGCACCTTTTACCAGCTGGCTTTTGGGCCCAGTTTTACGAGGAAACTTTTGCTGCTAAATAATGTGCGTGTTTTCTATTTTACGAGGATTTATAAGACTTAGTAGGATTTATATCATTGGTCGAGCTCGATGAAACTTTTTCTGCAATTTATGCGTTGCCTTGTGAATAGATTCTTTAATTTAATTTTTGCAGTGACCGTCGATTGGCCGATCATTTTGGAGGGAAATTGCATTTGGGTTATATGCAGATCCGCGAGAAGATTACAGAACTTCAGGTTAGATCTACATATTTTAAACTCTTAAAATTTTTTTTTCTATTTTCCTTGTTTTGTAGTTATGGACTTATTCTGAGTGACTAAAAGTACTGCAAAGTTATATCTTGTAAAAAATTTTATCTGATTTCTTACATGGCTTAATTTGTCTGGAAGCTGCTTGTCATTTTACTAAATTTTCTTGAAGTCCGAGCTCTGTAACTGTTGGTCAGGTGCTGGTAATGTTTGATCATTCTTCAATAAAGAAATTCAGTTATATTTGGCATCAGTGAGTTTTCTAACCTTAACCAGCAGATAACTATATGGTCTCTTTCATTTTTATTAGGAAGATTTACATACATGCCACTCATTTCATATGTATTTACATATCTAACATCTAAAATTCAATTTTTGCATGCATAGCACTTCCTCTATGCATTAATAGGTGTATTTCACCTTTTAAAAGTTAAAATGGTGGTATTTTTTATGTGATGAAAATTAAAGATAAATTTAGGCATTGTATGCATAAATACGTATGAATGGGGTGGTATGTTTGTAAATGTCCCTTTTTATTATTACTTATTTAATTTGGATGGTACAATCATTATCCGGTCGGTCCAAAATAGCGGTGGTGGCAATATGTGGTCTTCGTTATCAAATTTCATCTACACAAGTGAAAGAAACTGTGAGCAGAGAAACAGTATGTAAACTGTATGAATTTGATGGCAAATCATTTAACTAATTCAAATTTCAGATATAATTTTTTGATCTTGCATTCTTTTGTTTACGTTTATTTCTTGTGCATAGAATGATGTTTGCTATCCTTCTTTGGATTGATTCAACAAGCACCAAATGTCTGGTATTAACAGCTGTGTTTTTTTGGCTTAATTCAATATATGAATTTAGGAATCTCTTATAGTTTATGATTTTAAAGCGCAAGAATTATTTAAAAGTATTCTTTGTTGGGTTGAAGAACCATTCAATTGTTTTCCAACCATTCATACTTGCATTTGAATATGTTTGGAATTTTGATTTTTCTTTGTCATGATTAATGTGTTTTCTTGTGTGTGCGCATATGTGTGCGCGTGCGCATTTCCTTGTGACTTAGTGCTTCTCAGTTTGTATCATTTTAGGGGACAATATCTTTATGCGATTGGTTCCATAGAAAATTGCATTTTATCTGCTTTTTTGTTTAACCGCAGTGTCTTAACCAAATTTATCTAGCACTATTATGTTATCTTTACATTTTTTTAAAAAAATCTGAAGTAAATTTTATCAAGCTATCTATGGATTACTTTTTTAATGGGCTCATTTGATGTGGAAACTTTAATTTATAATTTACTTTAGGATTTTGACAGTGAAAGGAAGAAAATGTTTAGAGAAAACAACTCAGATGCCTTATGTGTGCATTCATTTTGATATATGCTATTACTTTCATGAAATTGGCCAGAGTTTTTTAAAACTTTATACTACTGAAGGTCTTTGCCTGTAAAATACAAAATTCTGTTCGGTTTGATAAATTGGTATTTATCAGGGTAATTTTATACTCCTTGTATTTAATGGTGTTGTTATGGCTTTTTGAATGTTTAATTTGTGTTTTGGCCACATTTTTATCCTAATTAAATCACCAATGTCAGTATATTAAGGTAGAACTAACTTGGAATTTCCCTTCATTATGTTGCGGCTTTTGTTCTCATTTATAGTAGCTTATGATGTTTTGGGATAAAAATGCAACACGCCGCTGTAATGTTTTGATGATTTGTGAATTTCAAAATTGTTCATTCTATTATATTGACAATTCACATTCTGGAGCTCTTTTTGGTTTGAATATTGATCACTAAACTTTCTTTTGATCTGTTTTAGTTCTTTTTTCTTATGCTCTGCATATGTTCATTTTTATTTTATATAATGAGTTGCAACTTCTGACAATATATGTTTTTCCAATAATCTAAAATTTGGTTAGTGTTTTCAATTTACATGTTTGTCTGCAGTGAATCTTTATTGAAACTTTCTTATGTTGCTTTATAACGGCAGAATATTTAGGCTTTTATTTGTAGATAACAACACTAGTTTTCCAAAGGTCTTGTTTAATCGGTGCTTCACTTTTCATGTACTTGTTTAGTTTCATTAGCATGATTTTTTTGATTATTTGCTGATTTTTGAAAATTTTAATCTGCTTTAAAATTTTAGATGCGAAGGGCATGATTTATTTAACTTTTGTTTCTGTTATTTATTTTTATTTTTAATAATTTGATTGAAACATGTTTGGCTACTGTTTTTTTTAAAAAAAAATTAAAATCTGGAATGAATATGTTTGGTAAATGTTTTTATTTTTTATTTGTTTTTTTATATAATTCAAATTGGTTTGATGTGAAGTTTTTTTTTTTCTTGCCATCTTGAAAATAACGGTAAAACCACTTGGGCTTCATTGGCTATATTATATATTTACTGGATTTTCTTTTTAACATTATCAGACACTAGTGATTTCAAACTTTGAATTACTATATTGCGTATATTCTTTTTAATAGAGGCATGTTGAAAGCAGTCTAGACCTTGTTTTGGTTTAGTTTCATGTTTAAGCTTTAAATTTATTTTTTTAAGCTTCGATAAAGAAGCAAGGATTTTGATGAATATCATCTTCAAGTGCTCTGGTAAAGTAGCAAAAAAAAATTAGGAAGATTTACATACTTAGCACTCAATTCTTAAGTATTTACTTAACTAACACCTAAACTTCAATTTTTGCATACACGCCACCTTTACCTGTACATGAGATGTAAAAGCTAAAATGGTGGTATTTTTCATGTGGTGTAAAAGCTTTGGTTGGTATAAATGTAAAAAAGTAAAGTTTAGGTGTTAGATATGTAAATACATAGGAATTGGGTGGTATGCATGTATATGCCCTAAAAATTTATAAGCTTTTGCGCTTGAAGGCATGGATCGAAAGGGTACTACTTATGTGTGGTTCCTTTGTGGAAGAATCCTTTCGCTAATTGGTTGTCAAAGGCAGTACTCCGAACAGCTGTCCGACATTTCAGAGGCAGAGTCAGCATGAATGGAAACCTCATCATCATTAAGATTTATGCCCAATTAATTATGTGAGTGCGTCCTTCGTTTACAATGTCTTGTGTTTTATGTGGAAGGTGATTTGCATAACAGCTTGTCTACATGCAGGATTTGCTTTAAATAAATGTATTTTGTTTTGGTGAGTGGGCTTTCTCTGTTTGTAATTTAAAGAAAATAACTAGCTGCTTAAAGAGACTCTAAATTCTTCTCTGTGAACACATTTACATTTTTCTGAACCAAGAGAAATTCATCACTGCTGGTGAGTCTTTTTCCCGGGCATATTGTCTTGTACTCTGTCCTCTTTTTATTGATTAGCCTTTATGCTTGGAGGCCTTGTTTTCCTTCTTATGATTTCCATCTGCTTTTTTATGCATGTTACAGATGTTATCATTCCATGTTGTGTATTAACAGTAGTGATTCATCGTCATCTTTATTGCCATTTTTTTATTAACTTTTAAGATTAACATTTACTCCATCCAGGAGGAAAGAAATAAGTCCAGAAAGAGAGAGCGATCTGATTCTCGTGACAAGAGAGACGGAATTGAGGACCGAAGGTATGTTTATTTGTGATAATTCTCTTTATGAGTCTGATGATTTGTTCCATCAATCACATTATCCTTCTTCTCTTCACACCCCTATATTCAACATTTTGTTGAATCTCCACATATTTGGTCCAGGGAGCGTGGTCGGGATGACCGAAGTGGTAGCCGGGAAAGAGGCCGTGAACATGATTTGCGTGACAGGGAGCATGATAGGAATGATAGAGATCGGGCCTCGAACCGTGACCGTGATAGGGATTTAGCTCGATCTCGCCATCGTGATTCTAGAAGCAGGCGAAGATCTCGTTCTCGCTCCCCTGAACGTTTGAGAGATTATGATCGACATAGGTAAATGCCTGAATTGTATATTGATTGTTACAATTGAATCCTGAAAATAATCATTCATCTTTTTGCAACAGTTTTTTAGGAAATATTTTTCCATAGAATGGTGAATACCATACATAATTTTCAGTGATATAAGCTTTCTTTTGGAACCCAAAATGCTCATTGTCACAATAAATGATTTTCATGCTAATTTACTCGACAGTGTGGTCATCTACTCATCTCTACCGCATATATATTGTGGCATTTACAAACAAACCACACAATTCTTATGTAATTACTTATCTAACACCCAAACTTGATATTTACATGCATAGCACTCAAATCCTTAACACGACGTAACAAAGACTGCCATCATTATTTTTTAGAAGTGATGTACACCTTTTCATATCTATGTTTATGATACCGAGGTGATAAGTGTAAATATCAAAATTTTGGTGTTAGATACATAAATACATAAGAATTGTGTTGTATGTATGTAAACTTTCCTACTTTATGTTTGTTTCTTATTTCTCAACGTTACCAAGCATTTCTTATCCCAAGATTGCGCCTTCCACTTGTTATACACTCAATGAGTACATTCTGTAATAAAGAAAACATAACTATATATTATGTGACATATGACCTTCATTTTTTAGTATTTTTTTGCATATATGCTGTAATTATTCACATCAACCATTCCGCTATCACCATGATGGAACACATTTTGTTATGAACATTCATTTCTTCAGGCCGAGGTAAAAAAGGCACTACCAAAATAAATTCAAATTATGCTGGAAAAAAATATGAACATTATAAATGAACAGAAGCTCTCCAAGATTCTCATGTGACCCGAACCAAGGGAAAATAAATTTATGGCAGTACATGAATAAAGTATAGTGTACAACTAGATCATAAAATGGTTAAAAACACGTGTATTTAGGCCAAAACTTCAAATTAAATCCCTCCCAAAACAAACAAAAGTATTTCATTGCCTTCACCATTTTAGCCTTCTCCCAACAAATTGGTGCTAATTTTATGAATTTTCCTTTTTCCCATTCATTTCTACTAAGAAGATGTTAACTCAACGTCATGCAGTTCCTTTGCATAATGTTAAGGAAATGTTCCATGGTTCTTTCATATCAGTCATACTCAAATAATTGGTGCATCTTATTTACTCCATTACACATGACCAAAACATCTAACTTTCTTTAAAATGTAATTATATGTCATTGAGTCTACAGTTTCACTACACATCCACTGAAACATTTTTGTTCCTAGCACATCCAAATTATTAGTGATTTCTTTGTTTTCCAACACCTTTTAAGCATCCATGGTTTTTCTTATCACATATTATTCTTAAAGAGCTCCTCTATTTTAACCAATAAAATTTATACTCATTTTTTTTATGGAAAAGGACCGGTCAAAGGCTATTATACGAGCCTCCAACCACCCCTAATATGCCTAATAATTCGAGTACCACCTTCTTATGGCCAACTGTGCCAGAGGGGATTCGTATAATATGTGATAAGGGTGGTTGGAGATTGGCATCTACGGTATAAGACCCCTCAGGTCGGGGGCTCGAATCCCCTCTGGCACAACTGATTTTTAAGGAGGTGGTAGTCGATTTATTAGACACATTATGGGTGATTGAAGGCTCATATAATAGACTCTGACCATTCCTTTTAATATATATATATATATATATATATCATACATAAATAATTTTTAAAAAAGTTGTTGCAAAAGCATAATTCTTGTTTCTTCATTTGCAGACGCCATGATCGGCGTTGAAGGTGCTGCTCAGTGCAGACGAAGTGAATTTCCTTCCCTCCATGCGGAGCTGTGGATCTGAGAGGTTTTTTTTCCTAAATAGCTGCTTGTTCGTGAAAATTTATGAATACCCATCGTAGGAAGTGTGATGCTATAAGGCTTTATTTTGCCCAACTATTCTACTTCTGGTAAGGTGGCTCATGCGCTCTGATGCATGCATGCTGAATTTTAGATGTCAACAACTGGGACAATTTTTATAATTTGCTGCATCTTTCCAGTTCTATTTTTACAGAACAAGAACTTGAATTTGAACCCGATATTTTAGGATTCTTAATTTTATTTTCTAATTTATATCCTATGCATTTGGGCACCTTTCTGTTATATATATATATATATATATATATGATTCATGCTTTTTATGATTCTGTTAAAAAAAATATGCTGTATTTATTATCAATATTATTATGAGTAGTATGTTTTATGTTATGAAAATATGTGATGTGGGTTGGTATTTTTGTGTATTAATTATATATAAAGTTGACATAATAAATAAAACATGAATAAACTATTAATTGTAAAATTATTGAATACCAAGCAATTAATTTTAGATGAATTAGTGATAGCTTTGGATGTGATATATCAGGATTATTAACTTTTGGAAGGGAAAGGTAACACTCATGAGAGAAAAATATATTTTTCCGTAAGTGGGGTGACACTTGTAAAAATTAAAACTTAGGTGTTAGATATATAAATACATATTCATTAAATGGTATATGTGCTAATATTAAATGTAAAAATTAAAATTTAGGTGTTGGGTATATAAATACATGTTCATTAAATGGTATATATGCTAATATTTCTAAATGTTTTAACATAGAGGCAATTACATGCAGACCATTCTAAATTTTTTATTTACAAATCAACTATTATCTTTCATCCAATTTCCAAGTTCTCAAATGTTAAAATTCACTCTGATATTTTTCATTTTTATCTAATTTTTAATGATTTTATCATGACGTGTAAATACATTAGATCAAAAAAATCATCCTAAACTTTTTTTTAATATAAATCAACATCTTTTATCTATTTACTCAGATATTAAAATTCATAGCAAAGCTCTAACTCATTTTTCATTTTCACCAAATTTTTAATTGCACGTCAATGGCAAATTTGAAAATTCCAATGTGTCAGATGGTCGTCACGAAATAAAAGGTCAACCTTCACTATTGAAGTCAATACATCTCAATCCGTCTCTCCAAAGCCAAAACTTCCTTCTACATCCACCACCTCCAATGTTAACAGATCCCGCAGCCACCGACCGCCGGCCACCGACCCACCTCCTCGTCTTCCCCTTTCCAGCACAAGGACATCTCCTCCCTCTCCTCCACCTCTCCGCTCATCTCGCCACCCGCTTCTCCTTCTCCATCACCGTCGTCATCACCCTCAAGAACCTCTCTCTGCTTCAGCCCTTCCTCTCCTCCACCTCCCAAATCCACCCTCTCGTCCTCCCCCTACCTCCCTCCTCCTCCCTCCCCTCCGGCGCCGAACACATCCGTACCCTCCCTTCCGGCATCCCTTCCGCCGCCCTAATCCGCTCCCTCTCCTCCCTCCGCCCCTCCATCCTCCTCTGGGCCAAATCCCAACCCAACCCCCCTTCCGCCCTCATCTCCGACTTCTTCCTCGGCTGGTCTGTCCACCTCGCCGCTGATCTCCATATACCCCACTTTTCATTCTTCTCCTCCGGCGCACTACTCGCCGCCATCCTCCACCCCCTCTTCCTTTCCCTCCCACCCCCCTCTTACACTCCCTTCTCCATCTCTCCTTCCCTCCCTCCACTCCCTTTCCCCCACCTCCCCTCCATATTCCGCCGCTACATCCCCGGCGATCCCGATTGGGATTTAACCCGCGAATCCCTCCTCTCAAACTCTTTATCCTCCGCCGCTATTTTCAACACGTTCGACTTCCTCGAATCCCCTTACCTCTCCCACCTCCGCTCCTCCTCCTACTCCTCCGGCCGCCTCTTCTCCGTCGGCCCAATTCCCCCCGCCGTTCCTGAATCTGATAACAACAACCTCCTCCCCTATCTCGACTCCTGCCCTCCTCACTCCGTCGTCTACATCTGCTTCGGAAGCCAGTTTGCGCTGGAGCTGGCGGTGATAGCAACAATCGCAGCCGGGCTCGAATCCAGCGGTGCGAGGTTCGTTTGGGCGGTGGGGAATGCGGCGCCGCCGGAGGATTTTGAAGGAAAGGGGAAGGTGGTGAAGGGATGGGTGCCGCAGAGAGCGGTGCTCGGACACGCGGCGGTCGCGGCGTTCATCACACACTGCGGGTGGAACTCGTTGCTGGAAGGCATGGCGGCGGGAGTGTTGTTGTTAGCGTGGCCGATGGAGGCGGATCAGTTCGTGAACGCGAGGTTATTGGTAGAGGAAACGGGTGTGGCGGTTAGGGTTTGCGAATTGCGCAGGGGGGCCGGGGAAAGTGCCGGAGGTGGCGGAGCTCGGGAGGATTATTGAGAAGGCGGTGGATGAGGGGAGTTGGCCAGAGATGAGGTTGAAGGTGGCGGAGATGGGGAGGAAGGCGAAGGAGGCGGTGGATGAAGGCGGTTCTTCATTTCTAGCTATGGAGGAAATGGTGAAACTCCTTGGTAAGGGTACAATTGAGGATTGATTTAGCCAAAACGAGCTGTGGTTTCCCTATTAGCTATCAATAAATAAAGATAGTCTTTAGAGAGGAGTAAATAGCAATGAACATTTGTACTCTCTCTTGTCTATCTTATAAAATTATCTCATTATTTGTAAGAGAGATAGTACAATATAATGGTATCATATTTCCGCCCCTACTTTAATGAGAATTTTACATGATATTCAATGTATTTTACATAATGAGCTTATTGTTGGACTGCTCTTTTGACTCGGTCGATTAAGCTTGTTTGGCCTCTACTCGGTAAGACTGATCTAGTTTGTTAGGCCAAGCTGGCGTTATCGATCGACTAAGTTTAATTAGTTTCAGGTCAGCAAGAATGATTCAGATGGCTATGCATTACCATTGATTATTAGATGAAGAGCTCTGGCAAGGTGAAACTAGGCTATTAGGTAAAAAGTAAATCACTGCAACCTGATAGATAACAACGAGGAGATTTTGTGAGATGATTATAAGACTATTGCATTGTCAATTATTGATCATTGATGGAGAGCTTTGGAGGCATCCATATGACAAATGATGATATTGATAAACTGACCTTCCTTAGGTCAGATCTACCGGGAGGCAGGCCAATGCCTTATGTCGGTTTTCTTGTTATGGCAAGCTTGGATGCTTATCTGCATTGCCCTAGTCTGATTGGTTCATACTCAAATCATTTGATCATTCTTTTATCCTTCTCCTGGCTCGATCGGCTTTTGTTTCTGGCTTGAACGACTACGTCTGATAGCATAAGCGAGTCTCATGATTTTCTGTCTATGAGCCCTCCTTTGTCATAATCCGTCATTTTTAGATTGTTAGATCTCATGATCCATGCTAGCATATTTTTTATGTCCAAATAGAATTTTTTAATGTAATTTGAATCTCATCAAGGAAAAAAAAGGAAAATTTATATACATACATACATTTTTCATGTATATGCATATCTAAAACCTAAACTTTTCATATCTATACCTATAAAAAGTAAATAATAATGATATTTTTGATATTATATTAAAAATTTGAACATTATGTATGTTGAGGAGGATTTTGTATCACAATTTCCATTTATTGTAATATAATATAATTCAATACAAACACACAAGTAAATAAAAGAATTGACAATTACAATATTCAACAAACTGTAACAATTCGATTTTTACATCTCCTTAAAATTTGGAACAATAGGATGAATCAGTAATTAAAAAAAAAAAAAAGAACATTTGAGTTCACTCTTCAACTTCAAGACCTGGTATATACTCCAAGCTCACATCAAAAACAACCGGGCTGTTAGGTGCCACTCTCGGCCTTCCTGGTGCTGAACTCAGTCCTTTAGGGAAAGCCAACTGACAACAAAACAAATTTTAAACATAATGTTATTAGCACTCCAACACACATCAACTTGGCTTTTACACATTTTAATGGAAACAAATAACATGGGGAAAAAAGAACATCATTATCCCGTTAAGTTTTACTTTATCTAGAAGTTACCAAAGATCTCGACTCTTGGCTCGAACGATTTGCTCTTAGATTTGTACGTTAATAGTTATAGATTCGAGTTAATTCGAACTAAATATTCATTAGCTTCTCGTGTTGAGTTCTATATGTTAATGGCTCGAATGATTTGCTCTTAAATTTTTACGTTAACAGTTATAGATTCGAGTTTGATTTGTGATCTATTTTTGAACTAAATATTCATTAGACTCGTGCAAAGTTCTACATGTTACCGGCTCAAATGACTTGCTCTTAAATTTTTTATGTTTATAGTTATAGAATCGAGTTTGATTTGGGATCTACTTTGAACTATATATTCATTAGCTTCCCGTGCGGAGTTCTATATGTTACTAACTTTGTGCCCCCCTTCTATAGAGTCAGCCTCGTGCCTACTTATCTACACTTTGAATTGAGAGAGATCCAATTCAAATAATTAAAACTACATACAATAAAAAGAGCAAAGTTTTATACAAGTTTGCCTTATTGATGATTGCATTCATGATAATAATGGTGGAGAATTGTGGAGAAATCGACAACTCTATTCTCTCATGTACCAAACTTAACATTACTGCCCTTCGTTTAACTGATCAAGGAAAATGTACATGCGTAGCCCACAAATTCTTATGTATTTACATATCTAACACCTTACCTATACATAAAAAGGTGCTATTTTTGACGTGATATGAAAGATTTGGGCAGCATAAATGTAAGAATCCAAGTTTAGATGCCGGATATGTAAATACATGAGAATTGAATGGTATGGATATAAATGCCCCTTCTAAATTATACAAGATGGGTTAGGCCACTCACTGGACCTGGTATATATAGTCTTCTTTTCCCTCCGATTTTCATGCTCAAAATCCCTTCATCAAGTCCCTTTATTACCTATCATAGCATTGATAATTAGCAGAAGGAAAAAAAAAAAAAAAACTTTACAAACTATCACTTCAAAGCACAAGCAAAAGTCAGTACTTCATATTAGTTCAAGCTAGTGCTATAATAAAAAATCAATTGATATGAAATATGAAATATTATTTTTTAAAATATTTTTAATAATTTAAAAACAAATTTCCTGAGTTTTAATGTATTTTGAACATATTTTATATTACCTTTTTTTTTTTTAACTAAAACAGTTCATGAGCTAAAAAGTTGTGTGATGTTGACTTGAGTTTTAGTTTGTTGGCTCATTGAACTCAGCTCACAAGCTACTTATCAAACCGAGTCAGAGCCGGCTCGCGAGTCGGTTCGACTAAGTTACACCCCTACAGTTTAGCATACAAATAACCCAAGAAGTACCTCCTTTCTTCATATATTATTTTTAAGTGTTGCAAGTTATAACACATTGATTCATAAGAAGGCATTGGACCTCCATCTGTCTTCATTAATGAAGGAAAGAAATGGATTGTCCAAAAGGACAAAATGCTCATAGTTCAATTAGCATACCTGACCAGAACCAACACGGAATATGTAGGGCTGACCTTTCTCCAAAGAACTGAAATTGCATCAAGAATAAAATAAATATTATTAAAAAATTTTGTTTAAAATTGTTCATTGCTTTAATAGGGATGAAAAATGAATCTATTATTTCATTAGCACATACAACTTACAATTCCAGATTTTCAATGGAATCAGTCCATCTTAAAATATACACGGGCCAAAAATTTTTATTTACATTTCACTCGTTTATTTATTGAGTCAAACACGAACTATTAGCGAAAACAAAGCCTACTGTAAAGTCACATGTAAATAATAAAAAAAAAATTGTGCTGCCACATGATATTTTTTAATGCTTCTTATATTCATGATATGTAAAGAAAGGATTTTTCAAAAAATCTCCTTTCATTTCATTGAAGAAGGGAATGTATATAGCCTTACAAGTTACAACATTTACAAATAAATCCATAGACTTCATCTATTTACAAATAGGACCCTACATTACGTACAAATCTCAACACTAAGCCCATCTTGTCACATAACCTAGACAAATGTAATGAGCTAAGTGCCTTGGTGAGCAAGTCAGCCACTTGCTCTCCAGTGACTACATAACTTAGCTTCAGTAGTTTGATATTCAGCTTTTCCTTGATGAAGAACCAATCAATCTCCACATGTTTGGCTTTATCATTTTGCACTGGGTTGTTGGCAATGTTGATCGCTAATTGTTGTTGCACCTCAACTTCATTTAAGCTTCTTGGTCCACCTTGAGATCTACCAACAAGGCTCTCGACAACATCTCAGCAACTCCTAAGGCCATGACCCTATACTCTGTCTCAGCTGTTGATTTCCCTACTACCGATTGTTTCTTGCTCTTCCAGAAGACCAAGTTGCCCCCTACGAACATGCAGTATCCAGATGTAAACCTGTCATCAGCATAACTCGCCCATTCAAAATCACAAAATACCTCAATATCTACATGTCTATTCTTCCTGAATATCAAAACTTTCTCTGGTACACTCTTCAAATACTTCAGAATACGATACACTGCATCCATATGACCCTTCCTTGAATCATGCATGTAGTGACTCACCGCACTTACTGCAAAAGAAATATCGGGTCGAGTGTGGCATAGATATATCAGGTGACCCACCAACCTCTGGTACCCCCACGATCAACTGATTTACCTGCCTTTGTACTGAGCTTGATTTTCTGATCAATTGAAGAAACTGCAGATTTACATCCTCGCATACCTGTCTTCGTGAGAAGATCCAGTACATACTTTCTCTGGGAAAAGAACATCCCCTCAAGTCCATGGGTCACTTTAATCCAAAGAAAGTATTTAAGTTATCCCAGATTTTTTACCTCAAATTGTTTCTCCAATCTTCCCTTCAGTTGAACAATCTCTTTCTCATCATCACTAGTAATAATTATATACAACTAGTATGGTAGTGTGGCATTCATGTTGCCGAAAGAACATTGTGTGGTCCGCATTGATCTGTTGATATCCCATGCTAACCATCTTCATTCTAAACTTGTCAAACCAAGCTCGAGTAAACCGTTTCAAGTCATACAGTGACTTCCTAAGCCTACACGCCTTGCCCACTGTCTAGGATGTATTGAATCCTAGTGGTATCTCCATATATACCTTCCCCAGTAACTCCTATGAATAAAAGCGTTCTTCACATCTAGTTGGTGGAATCTTCATCCAGAATTCATAGCCAGAGAAGTCAGTGTCCTCATTGTCCTCATTTTTGCTACAGGTGCAAAGATTTCATCGTAGTCAATGTCATATGTTTGATTGTACCTTTTCTCTACTAGTTTTGCTTTATAACTCTCCACATTCTCTTCTGAAGTTTTCTTTACCATGAAGATCCACTTGCATCCAACTTTTTGCTTCCCTGTTAGGAGTGGTGCAATCTCCCATGTTTTGTTTTTATCAAGAGCTTCAAAACGATCTTATTAAGCAACCTGTCACTTTCCACTTATTAAGTTTTGATATCATGCATTGTCACTTTCCACTTAGGATCTTATTAAGCAACCTGTCAACACTTAGGCATAGAGACAAAGTTCAATGATGTAATGAACACTCCATGCAAATGTGAGATGTTTAAATAAGAAATAAAGTTTGCAATGTCAAGTTTTCACCCAAAACGATCAGGAGGATGTCCTGCATTACTGCGGGAAGTCTTCCTTAACGTTGAGGGGGAAGAGTGAACGAAGGAGAAATAATATCACCTAGGAGTTTAAATCAAATGTGAATGGTGTAGGTGTCTCAATAGTTGGGGAAACTGCAAATTCTATTCCCTCAGTTTACTTCTTTCTCCATGTATACATCCTTAACTCACCTCCAGCTTAAATCCTACCACTTTTGGAGTCAATCTCCTCGATTTTGGTCTCCTCAGTTGATTCATCCCATATCACAGGACATGACATTATTTTCACTTACACCACTTCATCACCACTACTACTCACTCTCTCTTGGCTCATATCTTCAACGCATGTGAGTCACCGAATGGTGAATTCACCTCCAAAGTGTAGTATGATTCAAACTCTTTGAATGACACATCTATACTCACAAAGAGCCTATTCTTAATCGGGCTCCCGCAGACATAACTTTTCTAAGTAACAAAATAACCCACCATTTCGTAACTATGGGATCCAACTTCCTTGCATATGGTCTATTGTCTTTCACAAAACATACATATTTAAATACCTTCAATGAAAGGATCCCATTATGATCTCCTTTCAACATATGACAATGAGACCTCCACTCCAACTCTTAAAGACATCTTTAATCAATTGAGTGACTGTCAGCATTGCTTGCCCCATAACTATTGCGGGACATTCATTGCCATCATCATACTTCGGGCTACCTCTAAAGGATGTCGGTTCTTCCTCTCTGCTACTTTGTTTTATGCTAGTGTGTATGGACATGTGATTTGGTGTTATATCTCTTAAGCTGACAAGTAGTTCCCAAATGTTTTGTTGATATATTCTATCCAATTATCAAATCTCAGTGCCTTCACAACTGCATCATATTGGAGCTGGATTTCCTTGTGGAAATCTTTAAAATAAGCAGCCACCTCACTCTTCTGTCTCATCAAGTAACACGAGAAAAACAATCAATAAACGTAACAAAATAAAGACAATCATTCACATAATTAGTAGAACAAGGTCCTCATACATCATAATGTATCAAATCAAACACGCCAGAGCTTCTTTTCCCATAACTGACATAAGAGCTCGTTATGAGCTTGCCAAACTCACAAGCATCACACACCAATTTCTCCTTATTTGTCTTTTCATACATAGATGGATACAACCGACTCAATAAACTAAGACTAAAATGTCTCATTCGTTTGTGATGTCACATCCTCAACATTCCTTCAAGATTCTCCTATTGCAACACTTTCTACCATGGATGTCAGAGCCGAGTCCATCACCTCTCGGTCCAAGTATCAGAGTCCGTTATGCCACATTTCAGTCCAAAGTGTTTGACCCGTCCCTTTCTCTTGGAAGATCACCTGTGAAATATTAAAAAAAACAATACATTTTTAATTGGAGAATAGTGACACTAATGGATAAAATGTTCAATGGAAAGAAAAGAACATGTCAAACATTTGACAAAGTCATAGAATCGGTACACTATACTAAACCCTTACCAACAACAGGTTGTGTTGTGTCATCACTATCTGAATACTCTTTGGAACTACTAGATGTGTATAAGAAGAGAACTCCCTAGTGTTACTTGTCACATGTCGACATGCCCGGAAGTACTATCCATTATGGTTATTTTGTGGTGGATATAGAGGCAATAACATGTGTATTATGAGTATAATTTGCTAAGTGTACATTTGCACTTGGATGACGATAAGGCGGATGCATCCCCAGTGACATCACATGTCGCTCTCTGCTTCCTCTTCAACATCTCCAGTAAATTGTGATCATCATCGATAAAGACCACCCATCTCTTTCTCGTCCTCCGCTACCATCAGATTTGTCTCCTCTTTCACCTCTTTGGCCTCCTCGGCTACGACCGCGACCTCTAGATTGTCCATATCCACATGTTTCTCTCTCTTTCGGTGGCTTTGGACAAGCTCTGCTCAGGTGCCTTACTTCTTCACAGTTGTGGCACCTGCATGTCTCTCCCTGGGCATCTGTCATATCTGAGCTCGAGGCAGCCAAAGCTGATTGCATACCTGAAAGTTCAATCAACTCAGAGTGCAGCCTCATGTGACTCTCTCTGCACGATCAATGTTCTGCTTCTATTTCCCGGTATTGAAGTCGCCACTCCCTCACATAGATCCGCTTGCAATCCCTGTTTCGTGAGCCTCTCTATGAGCTTCCCCACTGTGTATCCTCGACGCCTTCCGTCTCTCTCTGCATGAAGCCACAAGCGCCACTTCTCTACTCGCTCTGACTCAAACAACAAACGCGATCTATGTTCTCCTTGCAGCGCCTCCCACAATGATCGATCCTATGCCTTAGCCCACACGATCCCAAAGGCAGTCTCGGCCCTAGCTACACCACTCGAGCCTATCGTTCTTCTTCTTCTTCCCAATTGATCAAACCAGCACTTCGTGACCGAACTCTATGATACAGTCTCGATCAAATTTAATGGAAAGAAGGCGACTGCGAAGATCTAAGGCTACTAGGTTATGGCTCTAATACCATAAAGAAAGGATTGCTCAAAAAACCTCTTTTTATTTCATTGCTAAGTGGCTTATATATAGCCTTACAAGTTACAACATTTACAAATAAATCCCTAGACTTCCTAGACTTCATCTATTATTTACAAATAAGACCATACATTACAAATTTTAACAATATGTATGTTGAGCTTCTATTGGCTCGAACACAATCAAATAAATCCGTGTTCTCATTCAAGCATTAAGTAACGAGTTTGTAAAAATAAGTAGAACTCGAGCTAATTGCTGAGTCAAGCACAATCAAGCATAAAAAAAGCTTTTTCACATACAAATGAACTACAACCAAATCAAAGCAAATATAATGGAGACTATTCTTCCTCACCATTTTCTTGCATTTCCTTCAAATGAATATTTAAAGGAAGATTTACTTACATAAATACCATTGAATTCCGATATAGTTACATGTCTTAACACCTAAACTTCAATTTTTACATATATGCCACCTTACATGTAGTGTATTTCACTTTTTAAAGTTAAATTTGTATTATATTTTTTATGAGATGTGAAAGATTTGGGTGTTATAAATGGAAAAAGTAAAGTGTATGGATTAGATATGTAAATAAATAGGAATTAAGTAGTATGCATGTAAATGAAAATTTAAATGGAATTGAATCCCTAATAAAACTAGAATGTTATTCTAGTATCAATGAAGAGCCATCTACACTAAGAATCAATTTCAGTAGAAACAAACATAAAGCAGACATTAAAGTGCTATATTTCACAATCAAACCGATTCAGGTTCTCACCTGTCAAATATTTGCCCATTTGGTACCATGGCAATATAATTTGCTGCAACCTGATATAAAAGAAGGAGATAAATCAAATTATTTATTCTGTCAGTATAAAGCAATTTCAGCACTATAGTTAAAAGAAGGGAAATTTACATATGTAGAACACAATTTTTTATGGATTTACATGTCTCACACCTAAACTTTCATATTTACTCATACAACACCCAAATCCTTAATATCGCATCAAAAGTAGCACTATTATCACCTTTTGGGTAGGGTTGTGAGGGATTAATACGCTCGATGAAGAACTTTGATTCTTCTTTATATAAGACTCTTTATTTTCATTTATTTAAATAGTTGGACAAAATTATACAAATTTTTAAACTTTGATGTCAAAAAGCGCAAATATTGTTTGCTTTTTCAAACGACTTGCCCAAAAAATGATAAAATGCTCATTTAATAATGATTTAATGATTTTTTATAACTTAATCTAGGCTTTCATAACATTATATGTTATATACAGTTCAAAATTTATTATATTAATGAAAGTGAAAGCATAATAAAAACATCGAGCAATTGATTAAATGTCTATATTAAAAAATCTCCTCAGTTTCATTAAATAATTAACATCCTACAAACAGTCACTGATGCTTGATTATGAGTTTAATAATATGCAATAATATTTTGAATTTTTGGGTGTATTCAAGTTCGTCTGGAGCTCAACGAACAAATAGATGAATGAGCTTGAACAATGTAATACTCGGCACGACTCAATTCATTTACAGCCTCTATTTCTCTTCAGCCATATCCTTAAAAAAGAGGCCGCACCCATAAACTCAAAATAAGTGATGCAATGGAGAATAGGCCGGGAAACCTAGAGCTATTGATGACAATAAATAAATAAATAAATAATCGCCTTAAAATCATATTATTTTGAATATTAATGAATAAATAAAATATACCTGAAAACCAACAGGTGGAGTTGGACCCACACCAACTTGTATGTCCTTGTACTGTAAACCCGTTTCTGTTGTTGTCATTGGCACCTAATTGCAAAAGAAATAGAAATAAACAATTTGCAACCACATTTTAAAAAGTATATGAAATTGAAAAGGCATAACCAATAAGTAATCATCTCATGAAAACATTCAAAACATTAACATATTCACATTTTATCATGATTAAATTGCATTTATGTTATGAGTATTGATGTGTTATAGGAAGATTCTACGTAAAGTTGTTGGATCCAATGTTATTCGTAAAAGATACCGAGACAACTACAAATAAGACCCAGTTGACCTTTTAGACAAAGAAGGATGAGTCAAATCAAGCTAAAAGACAACTCTTTAAGAGAGAGATAGTAATTAATGTTAATGGCTTTCTTGAGGCCTTAACGAGCAATAGAGCAATTTTGACATCATTTAAGATATCAATATGTTCTTTTTAGATTTACTTTAGTGGCATTTCATTTAGATATATACCACTCAATTCTTATGTATTTACATATCTAACACCTAAACTCTGATTTTTATATTTATACAACCCAAATCTTTCATATCACATTAAAAATAGCACTATTCTAGTTTAAAAAAAGTGAAATACACCGTTTCATGCATAGGTAAGGTGGAATATATGTAAAAGTTGAACTTTAGGCGTTCGATATGTAAATACATGAGAAATGAGTGGCGTGCATATGATTTTTTCTTGATTTTAGGATAACAAAAAACAAGATAAATACAAGTTTATCTGTGTAACTCTGGAAAGATGATGAACTTAGACTGTCATGAGGTAGAGATCATGCTAAAATTTAGCAGCTTGATTCATCAAGTTGAATAAAACATCAAAACAATTCAGCAAAATTTATTAAAGATGTATCAAAACTTGATTCATCAAGTAATTATCTTAAACAATGAACAAAACTACAATGACATATGAATGACCATAATTGCAAATATAGGGAGCCAAAATAAAATGAAATAAATCCTTAACATCTGCAGTATACCAGGATTCAGAGCTTCATATTTTCTGAAAGTTTCAGTCATAAATACAAGAGAAATTTACATGCATGCCACACAATTCTTATGTACTTACATACATAACACCTAAAGTTAGATATTTATAACACTTTGGTACCATAAACCTATGCATGAAAATATGTATTTCACTTCTAAAAAGTTAATAATGATGGTATTTTCTTATGTGATGTTAAAGTATTGAGCGTTATAGATGTAAATATGAAAGTTAAGTGTTAGATATGTAAATAAACAAGAATTTTGTGGTGTGCATGTAATATTATAAAACAAGTGAGGCAATATGAATCAAAAAGTACATTTTCAAGCTCCTTCTCACATGACTCATCACATAGTCTTGGCCTTTGCTCTACAGGCAACCCAGCTCCATTAGTTCTGTGTGTCAATATGCCAAAAGCAGAGAGAGATGAAATCAATCCGAGCACAGTTCTTCGACTAGTTAGAGTATTTTCTTCAGTAAATTTCTCCAAACCGCATCTTAGTTTAAAATTAAGCAGCTTTGTTGGGTACAGCTGGTGGGAACAACGTGAGAAAATCTTAGTGGAATTTATACCTACAAAGAGACAGAATAGAATGGCTGAGTCGAAGAGGAGTGAGGAAATAAATTCTGATTAAGATAGGAAAACTATAGAGTTTTTCTCAGGAAATTAGAGCTTTCAGACTAATAAAATCCCTCTTCAGTTTCCTTGTAGTTCTCTGATAAATCAAAATTTCTCAGAGCAGTGTTTTCTAGGTGAATTGATTCATCATCTCTTCAAAATTTAGAAAGAAACTAAAAAATCCCAAATTTAGGAACAATGTATGAGCGATCAACAGTTCTAGAAACTCATTAAATGCATTTTCCTCACAAATCATAATGCAAAGTAGCGTTATTCATATAAAATCTGGAAAATAAAGTTTAAGATGCGGAGTACATATCACATTTTCTCGGAGTATAATTTATAGAAGAAAAACAGTTCTAATAACTTACAGAGAAGGGGAGAATGGAGAAGAGAGAGGCCGTTGAATAGCAGAAGGGGCGAAGGAGAGGAGGAAGACATGGAAGCACTTTGGGGAAGAAAACATGGAGTCTTAGATTTTATTAGATAAAGGGTAAGGCTGAAGGGGAAAAGAAAGAAGACGATCAGCCACACGTTATGGAGAAAAGGGTAAGTTGCCTCGCGGAATTAGATAGGTACAATTTCTGTGAAGATTTTAAAGAATGCAGAATTTGAATGGGATTTTACAAATTTTAAATTCCATGATTTTGCTAAATTTTTCTTTAGACATGCCAAAGATTAAATTCTGAAATTGTTAAATCCCATCAGAATTTAATGAATTTAAAAATTTGTGTGGTACAAATTATGGATTTTAAAATGAATATTCAAATATTTTTTAGGGGGGCATTTAGGTACATTCCACACAATTCTTATGTGTTTACATGACAACTATCTAAATATTTCTTATATATAATTATATTGTTGATGATTTTTTAATTCCATATTTTAAATTAAAGCTATAAGATTCGTTTTTTATGTGTGTCGGGAGATTCATGGCGATAAGGGGATAAACTGACATCTGGACGTAGTGCGAGATCCAACACACACATAGGTAAATGAGAAGTAAGCAAGAGAAGACAACTTTATTTTTACGTGAAAAACCCTGTAAATGGAAAAATACCATAGGGTCTCCCCCAATTTAAATAATTCACTATGTAATTATAGCCACATAAGCCCACCCTTCTTTTGAATTAAAGAATATGAAATTACAAAGTTAATGTGCAACGTAGTTCCGTGATAATAGATGTAATAAGACGTAAATGTCGTCCTCGATTGCTATGAAGGCAGTGGACCGTCATGAATGTTTTGGACGGTAGTTGTAATGATATCTTATCATTGATTCGGTTGTTGAAAATCGTGGTAGTCACGTAGATCATAAATGATTGTTTTCATGAGAGTTGTTTGGGCGTAGAGGTTGTATTAGGGAGTTGCATTAGCTATGAGTTATGTTGTCATTGTTGGTTACGTGTTTATGCTGCAAAGGCCAGAGTTTGGAGCTGCATAAGTTGTGAGTCATGTATGTCGTAGTTGATCACATATGTTGTGACGGGCAGCTGTAATACGTCTGCAAGCCATAAAAGTTAGAGTTAGGAGTTGCTTGAACTGTGGATCACATATGTCGTAGTTGGTCATGCAAGTTATGGTGGTGAACTGTAGTAACGTCAATTGGTCGCCAAGGTCATTATAAGGGGCTACAGTTACAGTAAATCACATAGATCATAGGATGTAGTAGGAAGCTGTGAGAAGGGAGCTCCAGGAGTTTGGAGAACATCACCTTATTTTGAGTATGATGGATGAAAGCAATTATTACGGGGAGTTACATCATACTCAAAAGTGCATTATTACATTATATTTGTGGTGTGTCATTACACTGTCTTTGAGGTGTGTCATTACACTTTCTTTGGACTGCGTTGTTTACATTATTTTTTTAGATGCGTTGTTACACCGTCTTTGGGATGCGTTGTCTTCAGGTTTTGTGGTTATGTCGTTGTTTTTGTTTGTTTTTTTCTCATTTATTTTAGGAGTTGTCAGCTTGTCGATCGTCGTATACTTCCTTTATTCAAATAAATCACCCTTCTGAATCAAATCAGTGATTCAAAAAGGAGAGGAGCCGAATAAAAAGAGACATACGACAAAGAGACAAACAAGAGAAAAAGTAAAACGTGGAGAGTTTACATGCGATAAACCTCGCAAGGATAGGTCAAGAATCTCCGCCTAAATAAGATCGGGCGGATGCACCTTAAACCAATATCTGCAAAAGAAGTATCTATGTAGACTACCCATAACCAAAGTATCATGTGTATGTACCTGTTATGGGGTCAAGAGTACTCCCAGAGGAATGTGTTCATGCTAGTTAATTACATCTTGAGAGATACCCAAAAATACTCTTGATAAAAAGAGTTTCGCTTATATTATCATAGCCTGGGGTATAGGCAATCAAAGAAAGGTTATTCCGTGTGGGAACAGTCCCGATGCTTCAAAGCTCACGCTAAGTCATCGGGCAGAGAGTGAGTCTCTCACATCCCGCTCTCACAACATCCCGAATGGGTAGCGGCTCATCGGCACACGAGGCCCACAGAATAACCTAAATCATCTTGACGAGGATATTCTAAAACGTCAAAGCACGTCCGAGCCATAAGGACAGAGGACAAATCGTCGTATCTCATATGGGCGACAGCTCATCGGCATCAGGCTGTCAAAATGATATCGATAAAGTCAATGAGTGATATGGCTCAAAGGGGCTAAAAAAAAGGATAGTTAGAGTGATCCTAAAAGGTAAATGTAACTGGGTTGGGGTACCACGAACCCGTCATCCACAACTAATAGGACCCTAAGTTTACCTGGTCGTGAAGGTAGTCAACCCAACACGTCCTGAGATCCCAGTCATGAGATTCCCGGTCTGCAATCCGTGAATTACGTCGTCCACAGGAACCTTGATAACCCTAACGTCAAAAGAAAGAAACTCTATCCTATGACTAAAACCTGAAGCTCGGACTTATACCTGCCGAAGCGGTAAGGATGCCTCGGGAAAGAAAGAGAAGTGGAGGTTCAACCATAAAGCTAGAAAACATTCCAAACAAAAGGACTTATATCCCGTCTGGGTTGGAGAGCCTTCTAACACCCTATGCGCACTAGACAACCACCTATATGAAGGTGTGTTGGGTCAGTCAGGTTGGAGAAACACGGGGGCTTCTCCTCGGGACATGCAAATATAATGCAGCTATCTAGAGCAGTCCTAAAGTAATGTGGAGACCTTATTAATATATGTAGGAAAGTAAAGGTTGCAATTTTTAAATTCTGAATATTTTAATCCTAAATTTTAATTATCTTGAATATTTTATTTAAGATTTTGTAGAAACTTAGGAATTTAAGTCCTAAAGAGCCTTTGTTTTATCGTGAAATCCCAGATAAACCACAGAAAGAAATAAGGAAAACACATACAAGTGTAAGCATGCAACATGATACAAAAAACAAAACAAGCCAAATAAAAATGATAAACGGGCTGGTACCGCTGGGTCGGCAACATATCCCAAAAAAGAAAAGGGTTGGCCGGACTCCGCATATACATGCCGCATATACATGTCTGGTCCTAATTCTATACATCAATATAAAATGTAAAATTAAGATACGAGGCACGAGCAACTGCTCCTGGTGCCCTCCATGTGGTCCCTGCGCCAAATGCCTCGGAACCCGTGCTCGTATCTTATTTCTACTACAGGACTCTCCTAGACTCTAAAAGTACATAGAGAAAAGAAGAAACCTCAATCATACATGAAAATAAGTGTTAGTGGGAAATATCACATGCATATAACGTATCATGAGCCATGCCTTACAAGCGGAGGAGCAAAATAACACTTGCAAGCAAAATGGTCAAAAATCATCACATAATGCTCCATAGTGGTACATGTGTGTGTGTGTGTATAAATAGACATGACTCCCTGCAGAAGAACGCCCTAACACACTACCATACATATGCAACATGCAGTCACACCACAAGCACAATGCAAAAGAAAGATGTCTGGTCAGGGCAACCAATCCAACAGAGAACAATAATCAGACATCAAAAAGACTATCTAGCATTCTAAATCCTAGCCTAGCACATCATCTAACAAAAAGTGTCCTAACCGGCATCTAAGCCTAATATTTAAGTGCGGGGTAAGTATGTGTATAGTATGACTTTGACGGGGTCGCCATACCGGCCCCGTCTTAAAGATCCGAAGGATCTAAAGGTTGTCACGAAGAGTGTTGACACAAGATAGATTCATTAGATCTTTAGCACAATCATATTTGTGTCAATCTCGATGACTTAACTCGCATTGCTCACTGGGATCAACCCGACAAACAATGTTCGTTAAGACATCGTGACCAACACGAGGTCATTCTCTTAACGAGTATGACAAGTCGTCGAAGAATGAGCAAAACAAACAATCATGCAGAAAGCCCACATTGTGACTGCTCGATTAAAGTACAAGCAATCACAACAGGCACCCAAAAGGGCGAACACACCATACAAATGAATGAAAGGATGTCACATGCAACATGACACACACAAATGTGATGTACCAATAAAACAAGCTACCAATATAGAGGAATTACACCTGCCCGGAAACCCGGGGTGTCATGCAACTAGCAGACACCAGCTACAAGTGAGTTTGCATCAAGTAAAAGGATACCTATAAAGAGGAATTACACCTTACCCGAGAGGCATTCACTGAGCAAACATGCAAACATGCAAGATATGCAACATACATGTGATAAGTGCACCAAAGTGGTGAAGGCGAATATTTCGTAACGGTAGTGACTCAGAAATAACGGGCATGCTGTAGCGGCAACGACCTAAAAGATGAGTATGCCGAGGAGGCAGTGACCCATAGATGGACATGCCGCGACAACAGTGGCTTGTGCAGATGAGTATGCCGAGGAGGCAGTGACCCAGAGATGGGCATGCTGTGATGACAGTGGCTCGACAGATGGGTATGCCGATGAGATAGTGATCCGGAGATAAGCATGTCGTGATGACAGTGGCTTGAATAAAAGTACAATGCAAACAAGTAATATTGCTCATACAAACGAACAAACAGACACATACACACAAACATGCAATACGATCATGCAAACATCATGCAATACGATCATGGACAACACATGGACAACATGCAATAACATGCAAATGATTGGTTTAACGGGTAGTGGTAACCGGTCGAGCCAAAGTGGCAGGTCGATTAGGCCGGGGCGGCCGGTCGAACCAAAGTGATTAAGTGATTGTTCATATGAAATGCAATATGATCAGCTAGCTAAAATACATCAAATGTTCAATGCACATGCAATGAAACCCAATAACTAGACAGCACGTCGAACTCGTTCTAATGACCTCGCATAGATACCTCGGGTTTACACATTTGGATCTGCGGCATCGCCGCCTCCAGCTTTGGCGTGACAACGTTGAGGGTTTCCCCTTCCAATTTCTCATAGGGAAAACTCTCCACTGTTCGTAGGAAGGACTAGCTACAAAGCTTTTTTCGCTCTACGAACGTCGATGATCTTATAGGACAGACTAGATACGAAGCTTTTTCCGTCCTCTAACATCGAACTCAACTAATCCCTTCTAGGGAGATTAGGAGCTCCAAAACCGTTTGAAATTGAGATTCCAACCCGGCGAGGTTAAAGGCCTAAGGCTCACAACAGGGAATCACTCGGCTTCGTATAAAACTTGGTCAACGCATAAGCAGTCATAACCTAAATGCTAGCTCTAGGTAAATCAACTATCAATCACGTAGGTACGTCGTCGCGCTGGCTCACGCCGACACCTTACCCTGTGTGGGCGATCAAACTCACACGCCTAGACAACACTGAAAACCTAAGGCCAGCTAAGAGTTAGATGATCTCACCACCGTGACGGTTGCAGACGCGTTCTCTTTGCTTGATCCAAACTCACCGGCGTCCTATCCATGCTCTAGTGTGTCTCGTAGAACGTGCACAAGACAATAAAAAGACCCAATGAGGGAGGTTCATCTTCCGGCGAGTCTCGTAACAAAACACATGAAAAACATGAAATATTTACGGAGTGAGCAAAGTACTAAAAATAATAATTTTGACATATAAAAATATAACCAAAATATACCTTCGAGAAGAGACACTCGACGGCGGTAAAAGAGAGGAAGTTTTCCTCACAAAGGAAAAGACGCTTGCACCTCCTCGAACAATGACACCGCTCGCTGTCCGGCGGCGTCAAGCTGCTCCGACGAAGTATCCGGTCGCCGGGAAGGTAGGACGGTGAGGTGGAGGAGTTAGCTCGCTGGCAGTGCACAACGAGAGCGAAGGAAACACGGAGGAGAGCCCAAAATCCAACACCCTCTTCGTTGATTTTCTCCTTCGTAAATGCGACGTCCGTGAATCATAAGGCCGACAAGGAGGAAGAGGTTCAGCGAAGGTGATCAGAGAGCTGGCAGCGTTAAGGATAACGCCGACCAAGAAGGAGCAAAAGAAATGCTCGGCCGGCGGCTGAAGGAGCTTTAGCGGCCAGAGGGGAGCTGACGGTGAAGAGCATCCCCGACAAGGAAGAGCTCCGGCGTCGGACGCGAGGAGGAGGCTGGACAGGCTTCGCGAGAACCAGAGAGTGGGTCCCGCTCAAGAAAGGAAGGAGTAGGCGCTTGCCGGCATTTGGAAGGGCCTCCGGCGAGTGGCCAAGCAGGGTGGGCGACACGCGATCAAGAAAGGAAGGAGTAGGCGCTTGCCGGCATTTGGAAGGGCCTCCGGCGAGTGGCCAGTGAGGTTCGCCGACCGGAGAGCAGCGTGCTCTTTTCGCGAACTGAGGGAGAGCCCCGGCGCGAAGTAAGAGATGACATGAGATCGAGAAGAGAAATGTGTGAATTTTATTATTTCTCTGCATGCAATGCATGAATTATATATATAAACCCATGGTGAGATGAATAAGAGAAAGAGAGAGAGAGTGCGTGAGCAGCAGATAAGGGAGGATAAAAAAATATATTTTTTTATTTTTTGTATAATAATAATAATTATTATTATTCTCCTCGCATTTATCACCCCTACACGTCTTCACGGCAAAATGAGGGTCTCTCCTAGTTAAAATCGACGTTCCGAACACGACTGCGCAATCCGTTTTGTCGTTTAGGGTCATTCGACACTTTTTCGATGATCAGAGTACACATCTTTAGCCCGCACGCGAAATCGTGGTGCAATAGATGTCCTTGCCAATTGGAATCGACGTTCCAGACTTTCCCGCATGGTTCATTTCGTCGTCCGGGGTCATCTAGACAAATTTTTCAACCAGATCGGAGCTGTTCGACGTGTCAAATGTCGGCCGGCTTTCGCCGAAGCGAAAGTTAAAGCCCAACAAAGTGACCCTGGTAACGTGCCCCTCAACACACACCGAAAGGTCCCGGGTGGGTTTCTCAAGCTACCAGATGCTACGGACGAACCGTAGACCATCTTGAGTCATGCAGGCGGACACCTTATATACCTTATATAAAAAAATGATGCCAACAGTCGTCTTGAAGGTGCATCGTTATGCCATTTTTGAGACGCGTAGTTACACCATCTTTGAGTGTGTATCATTACGTTGTATTCATAGTGCATTCTTACACCATATTCTGGTGCGTCATTATTCATCATTACACTATAAAATTTATCATTGTTACACTGGTTAGTAGTTTATTATCTAAACTAAGTAAACATTAAAAAAATAATAATTAAGTATTAAGTAATAATTTAACTTTTAACAATGACTAATTATTTGTTTTTTAACTATATTAATTAACAATTATTTAGAATTTTATTTTAAAATATATATTTTAAATTAATAACTATTTACATATAGATTAATTTAATTGTAAGTAATTGGATAACATATCAAAATAATATTAATTTAAATTAATAAAATTAAAACCGCAAGTCCGCAAACCTATCTAACCCTTCCCTGGCTCGGCCTCCCCCCCCACCAAACCCTTGCCTCTGGGGTACATCACTCCCCTCAACCTGTTTCGCCCGAAGACACTTCGCCTCTCTGCCACAAATCCTCCCCCTCCCTAGTTTCGCCCAAAACCATCGCCTTCGCAACCGTACCCTCGCGATACAGTCATCATTAGAGCTAACTGGGAAGGCAACGTCGAGATCGCGGCGAGACCCGAACTCCCATCTTTCTCCTCATTGCGCTCCGCTCCTACCCGAAACAATCGAGGAGATAACTTCACATCTTTCTTTTGCGTTCCCGGATTCACTAAATCCGATTTACGCCCGAGTTTTGTGAAATCCGGATTTATCAAATCCGCGGCTCTATTTTGTCCAGACCAACGGTATGGCAAGATTTAGTTTAAATCCACGCTACCTTCCTTCTCTAAATCCATTACATGATTTATTATTTTACAGAAGTTTGATTCAACTTTTCATTGGATCTAAAGTTTCGATTTTTATCGCTTGACAATATTTGCTTAAATTCTGCCACCAATTACACTTTTCTAACATTTTCATGTGAAGTTTCTTCCCATCTTGTTAGAAAATCTATGAAATGAATCCGATGAAGGGGGTTTTCTTCCTTTGTTCACAGTTGGCAGTTGAATTCATTCAATTTTTTTGAGCAACTAATCAAAAACTTGATTCGTACCTGGTCTCATAGTTTCATTCTTTTTTTATCAAGAATAATTTTATTTACATTCGTGAAACTCCTCAGAGAAGTCACATGGTTCGCTAATTTGATTACTTGGTCTGCAATCCATGAATTTATAATTTATTTCATCAACTACTCAATTTAATTATTTAGATGTTTCTATTAAGCATATATTTTATGTTTATATTTTCATTCTATGTAACTTTTTATTTTAGTTAGCTATGAAAAAGATACTTTAAAAAATTGTGGGATGCAAATGAACTCAACAATATTTAGTTGGTTGATAACAATAATATAAAGCTCAAATAAACTTTGTAGAAATTTGGATGATATTTTAGCTGATCCAAGATTAAGGAAAATGATTTTATAATATCATCCAAATCACTGGATAGAGCTTGAAGAGCCTATTTGCAAAAATAAATGGTGTAGTTTGATGAATTGTGTGCTTTATAGCATAATAGGATGAAATTTTTTTAAAAAAAAATTAGCATTAAATATGCTATATGGTGCAATGAAATTAGTGCTTCTAACATTTAGAAAGAAATTGTATGTGTCTGTTATTGAGATGCCAAAAGTCATCAATAATAATTTAGGCAATTAGTTATTTGCACAAAGATTACTTGAGTCCAAAAAGAATGATATTTATTTACCCTTTGGCATATTTACTAATGATGCTTGTTTTGATCTTATCAAATATTACAATAATGATTGAATATGCAACCTTTGTTATGCAAATTGTAGAGTCACTTGCACAATCACTTGGGAGACTATTAGAGGATTAATTTTCTAGTCTTTTATATATATTGAAAAAAAACATCCAGCAGTGTTTATAATGAAATAATTGTATGATGATTTTACAAGATGACATTAGAAGAAGCAATTATACCACCCTATCTTACATAGAAAATTGATATCACATGTGATACTCAACTTATTATTTTTCTATTGAAATGATATCGGTCATTATTGTAATTTAATTTATTTTATTTAATTATTTTTAATGCTTTAACTATAAAAATTTTCTATTTGAATCTGGTCATGATTGATGGATCTATTTATAATAATGGCCACTAGATAAAATTTAAACAAATGGTATATCAACTATAAAATATAATAAAAAAATGTACGTGACAAACTAATAGAACATTGCGACTAGCAAATGCAATGCCACATGCAAATTTCAATCTTATAACCTAGAGATGTTGGCTTGTTAACTTTATTTAAATACATTAAAAATAGTAATATTTAATTACAGTGAAATTCCACTCACTATATGTCCCAAGCCAAATCCTTTCATCTAAAAGAAAAAAAATTATTATCTTTGATCTAGTTTCAATGTTTCAAGAACAATTATTGAGTTGATGATAAGAAGTTTAGTTTTCTTTGATTTGTTTGGTGTTGCACTTAGACTTGGTGTGGATGCAAAAGCAAACCTCTTGATTTGCCTCTTGATTTGAATACATGTACACTTATTATTATTAATTACTACAAAGAAAAAAAATAATCACCGACTTGCATTGTTAAATTAATGGTTGCAATACTGAATGATGAAGGACGATAAAGTTTTTTAGCTTAATCATACTAAAGCTTGGCTCATTTTATTAGAAATTTTTTTTCGGTGAACCTGCTTGTGGGTTTATCATGTTGAGATTTAGAATAGAACAACACAACTTAATATTATTAATAAAATGATGGGTATTTAAACCCAATTACAATAAGCACAACAAAGAAAAAAAATAAAAAGAAATAAAATGAATAAGAAAGAAATAAAACAAACTAAAACAAATAAGAAAGAAATAAAAAGAGAATAAAAACTAATAATAAGTAATAACGACTAGAGATTGCCGTTATAATTCCCCCTCAAGTTGAAGCATAGATGTCAGTCATGTTCAACTTGGATTTGAAGTCATCAAATAAAGGACAAAGAAGATTCTTGGTGAGGATATTTGTTAGTTGACCACTGGATGACACAAAAAAAACACAAATTTTTCTAGAATCAATCTTTTTCTTAATGGAGTGTTCGTCGATCTCCACATGTTTTGCCCGACTGTACTGGATTGGATAATGAACAATGTTGATGACAACCTTATTATCACAGAATAGCTGCAGCGGGACAAAAGTTGACATACGAAGTTCGCGGAACATGATGCATAACCATAGGGCTTCACAGACCCTAAAGGGCTTGGACTGGGATTCAACTTCAGCATTGCTCCGGGCAATTACAAATATTTTTTTTGCTTTTCCACGCGACAATATCTTCTCATATAAATGAGCAATAACCCTAGGTGGAACATCAATCATGAACCGATTTGACCCAATCAACATTTGTATAAATAATAATAGACCGAGAGGTGTAATGAGAGAAACAAACATGAGCCCAATGTACCTTTTAATAGTAGAGAATCCGGTGGATAGCTTGGAGATGATGTTCATAGAGGTCATGCATGAATTAACTCACAATACCAATTGCGTGGTATATGTTGGGGCGAGTATGAGCGAGGTAAATGAGTTTCCTCACAAGACGCTTGATATACACAACTTTGAAAATGTTAGATAAATTTTCATTGTGATACATAGGGACAGTTATTGGTTTACACAAAAGAAGGTTGCTCTCTGTCAATAAATCAATCACATATTTGTGCTGAGATAGATGCCTTGAGATGACTGTTGACCTCGCTTTCGGTCAAGGTGTAGCTTTCCCCTCTTTAATAGCCTAGGATCTAGCCGTAGGACCTTTCTGCCGACTATTCCTAGAAAACTAGTGAAGGAGCCCTTCCCGTTAGCAATTCTAGATTTTTCTTCGCTCGACTTGACGTTCCATGTGTGGTAGTTTGACGTTCCATGTGGTAGTTTTGACCGCTATTGCCTAGCAGGTAAGGCTACTCCGAAGAAACTCAAAGAGCACTCCTATAGGACTGACAGCCTTAGGATTGACCCCTACTCGTTGATTTGGCACAGCTGCGCTCTTCGCCGTCCAATTTAATCGAATTCGAGCCGAAATTTTGATAGGATTCGGATTGCAACGCGTTTTTGTCCCAATCGTCGACGAAGTTGCCCGGACGACTCCAGATGACGAAACGGACTGCGCCGACGGGTCCGAAACATCGATTTTGCTTAGGAGAGATGTTTGTTTCGTCGCGAGGGCATTTCTGGAGAAGGAGATGTGTATAAGTATTATTTATAATAATAAATAATATTTAATTATTATTTATTATAAATAAAACTTAAACCTAATCCTAATTTCATTCCCCTCTCCCGTCCGCCTCTCCCTCGTGCGTTCCGTGAGTTCTTCTCTCGCTCGTGCTTCTGCCCTAAGCCACTGTGATCCCTTATGTGACCCCACGAGCTCGAGGCATGGGAACGAAGGTTCCCGCGCTCCCCTCTCTCGCAGTCGCCCCTCCCCCCCCATCATTCACTTGCTCCTCCAGCCCTGCTGGATTTTTTTTCAATCATTGGCTTCTTCTTCCCTTAGCGTATATCAGAGCTCCTCTGTGAAGCTTCAAGGGGCCGAAAATTTGTTCTGGGGAGGAATTTTCTCTGTCACTCTTCTTTCTTATTCTTTTTTTTGAGTTTCTAGTGCTTCAATTAAGTTCTTCTCACTGTTGGGAGGAAAGTTTGGCTAGAGAACATCTTTCTGTGATTTCACATTAAAGAGGTACTTCTCCCTCCCCCTGTGCTTTACCTGTTTTCGGTCTTGCTCTGTGCCTTGCCTGTACTCAACTCTGCTCTATGCCGAGCCCCGTTAGCATGCTAGAATAGGAAGATTACTATTTGCCTCATTCCTAAACATGTTCTAACGTATTATTTATACATTTGTTATGTGGGAAATAACATTTAAAGGCTTGAGGGTGTGTATTTCCCTCCCCCTCACTTTCTCGGTGCTTTACTGGCTTTCTGTTATGGCCTTGCCGAGTTTCTGGTGATGAGCTTGTGGTGTAGTGCTGGAAGTTAGATTTGGTTGAGCAATGTGACATGCTATTAATTCTCTCTTTTACTTTGCTTATCTAAAGTGCTGAAGTCATGGCATGTTTCCTACCTTCTGAGGCATAGTTATATTAGAAACAATTAAAAGGATGGCCTTGAAATAATTTGGCCCCTCTCATGAGCATGTTAGTATATGTATTGTGAAACTTTCATTCACTTTCACTCAAAGCATGTGGTAGTTCTAGGTTGAATACCTTAAAGGCATGGGAATATTTTTCTAACCCTCATTGTGGCCTAACTTTTAAATCTCAATTGCAACCTGGTTTTCGACCCTTGCTGGGTTCGGGTTTTGGCCTTGCTTGGCTCGGTTTTGGCTTCCTGTGTCTTTCTCTTACTCGAAATGCATGTTATAAAAAAAAAAAAAATTAATTTGGAAAGCTCTGCAACCTGTTCCGAGGGCTTGGTCTAGCTCCTCGTGAAACATCCTTTTGTTTAAATACCTGTTGGAAGGTGTTTCATGTTCGGAATACTCAAGTTAGGGGCCTAAATATACTATCTATGTTATTGTTCTTGCTTAAGGCATATATTGGCTCTATATCTTGATATTTCAAAAGCTCGTGAGCTGTCCCTTGGCTTTGAATGGTTCGGTTTTATCTTGAAGCGACTGGAATTTTAATTTCTGCTAAAGATTGAATTTTAATCTATGCTCAGGCTTTGTCTTGGCCTTGAACGACTCGGTTTTGGGTCTTTGTGGGCATTCGGTTT